GGAAGAAGAAGAAGAAGAAGAAGAAGAAGAAGAAGAAGAAGAAGAAGAAGAAGAAGAAGAAGAAGAAGAAGAAGAGATATCTAAAAGAAATGACCAAATTTGAATTTGAATTCCTGGCTTTGCCCAGCTCCCTCTTAGGGAGGTTTGGAAAAGCATGGTAAGTGGAAATCAATAAGACCAATACAGAGACTGAAGTCTTGAGATATGACTTCTTTCTTTTTAAGATTTTATTTATTTATTATGCATACAACATTCTGCTTCCATGTATATCTGCACACCAGAAGAGGGCACCAGATCTCATAAAGGATAGTTGTGAGTCACCATGTGGTTGCTGGGAATTGAACTCAGGACCTCTGGAAGAGCAGTCAGTGCTCTTAACCTCTGAGCCATCTCTCCAGCCCCCTTGAGCTATGACTTCTAAATCAGCCCGAAACCACTTCAAACAGGGAGATGCTGAGTGTGGACTCTTGTGGCTGCACTCTCTTACAACTGCAGTGACTGCTACACTTACCCCAGCATTAACAACACGGTAGCACTGATTACAGTGTGGGAAATGGGATTAAGAGAGAACCTTGAATCTCACCTGCCCCTTCCTTTTGAATGATTCTATATGAGAACTGGATCTTTATAAATAGTAAGTATTCTTCCATCAGTATAATGTGAGCAGGTCTTTATAGAACACCAGGGAAAGATGGGAAAGGTCATGTCACACAGTCAGAAGAGAAGGGCAGCCAGATAAAGGATGGATGTGCGGCAGGAATGGTGGCGGGGGGTCAGGAGTTCAAGGTCACCCTGCATAAAAGGCCCTTCAAAGGGAGCCTGGGATATTGTCGATCCTGGCTCAGCTTGGCAACCTAGCTCAATGGCAGAGTGTTTTGCCTCACAAGTGTGAGGCTCTAAGTTCCTAGCACTGCAAAAAATAAAGCAACAAAAGCATGGATTTGCTCTAAAGGAGTGAAAGATACATTTACCTTCTAGCGCTCTCTTATCGTTTTTAAAAACTTGTTGTCTTGTCCTGTGCAGTGTTCTGAAGAGCTGTAAAACCTATTAAGAAAAAACAGAATTCAGGACTGAAGAGATGGCTCAGTGGATAAAGCGTATGCTCCACAAGCATGAGGAACCTAGTTGAAATCCCTGGAATCCACATTAAAAACAACAAAAATACATGATACTGCACATCTGTAATCCCTGTATGCCTATGAGAAAGTGACAGCGAGACAGGAGAATTACAGAAGCTCAAGGGATTCTTGAGCTAGTCTGTGTATGCATATATTTTCTGACTCAAACAAGG